CATCATCAATAACAACCCCACCTTCAGAAAATACATCTTCCTCTAATGTTCCTCATAAAACACCTACGTGTTCATCCGCACAAAATCAACCCAAAGTCAAGAGGGCATTAAATTTTGAAAATACAGGTAATACTCATTACACGTTAAACAAATATACCAAAAAAAACAACTGATTGTTAACATTACATCACAGGTATAGACAAATCTGATGCAGGCCCGAAACGAGCACGTCGGTCGCAATAAAGACAATGGCTTTGTGTACCAGTTCTATATTCCTAACCCTTTGTTTATCTCCACTTCTTATTACCTCTGTAGTACCAACCCTTTTACTACTATTCCTACTAACTTAAAAACCATATCATATTTTGCGTATGTAATGTAACCTTATAAAATTACCATGAATATATCAACAGTGTTTACTAGCAGTGCTTACTGAGTCCTATAAAATATTAGATTATTAAAAAAAATCACAACATTTATGTTACTCATAAAACAAATTACAACATTACACATGTACTATTCCTTTACAAAATTACCTGCTTCTTAATTTCGAATATTCAATCAGCAACTTCAATCTTTCGGTGAGTTTCTCATGATTATATATGATTACTTCTCAATGTTTGTGTTAATCGTATAATTGAAATTTTTTTTCTTCTTCTGCGACTTCAATTTTTCTTCTCATTGAATTTGTTAATCAAGGTTTCTATTTATCTTTGATTCAGAAGTTGTTTATTAATTATTTTCTATCTTAAATTCTTTATTCGATCCACTCAATTGATCATCAATGTGTATGTGTATGTGTAAAAATAAGTTTCTCTTACGTATGTCTGTGTGTATCTCTTTAAAAATTGTGCAATTTCATCATTTTATGACCCCCATTTGCGAAGTTGAATATTTATTTCCAAAAATGCGAAACTCCAGGGACAATATTTGAAAATTTCTCTACTGTGAAATACTTCGCATCTTCATTCTTACACCCTTCGCATCCATTCGCATTAATCACCTTCGCATTTTAACCTAATTAATCAAATGCAAACCACAAAATTTTCATTCCAGATGCCAACACAGTTTAGTTCTTGAACTCTAAACTTGCGAAATCAAAAATTCATATGTTGAACCCATATGCGAATATTAACCCAATTGACTTCAAATTGATTCACAGATACAAACACTCGATTGTTTTACTTTCGCAAAATGAACATCAACAACTCCACAATCGAGTTTTTAAATTGTTGCAAACAACAATTTCACAGTCCTTGACTTCGCGTTTTTCTTCACGAATCATCCATCAATCATCAATCCAATTGCGAATCAAAACTCATATGTTCTTGCTTTATCAATTCATCGACTACACTCATACAAATGCGAACAATACTCAATTTCAAAATCGATTGAAACTTATAGCAAAGCTAAATCCAACTTCGCATTCAAAGCAGTGTTATTGATTGCATTCATGAAATACTAACAAGATAATATATTATAATACAAATATACATATTTTAGGTGGTGAAATCGTAACAGCCTAACAATTTGGTATTTTCATTCCAGATGCGAACACAGTTTAGTTCTTGAACTCTAAACTTGCGAAATCAAAAATTCATATGTTGAACCCATATGCGAATATTAACCCAATTGACTTCAAATTGATTCACAGATGCAAACACTCGATTGTTTTACTTTCGCAAAATGAGCATCAACAACTCCACAATCGACTTTTTAAATTCTTGCAAACAACAATTTCACAGTCCTTGACTTCGCGTTTTTCTTCACGAATCATCCCTCAAGCTTCAGGCAACCGATTGGCTCCAAGGGACTTTAGAAGAAGAGCAATGAGCGTAGTGTTGAACTATTTCAGTAAGCACCTCTTCCGAAATATAAATCCATCCTTGATTGCCATCGAGATTTCCTCCCCAACTAGCTCCTTATTAATCTAAAATGAAAGAAGAAGTTCGGGAAACCGTCCAATTGCGAATCAAAACTCATATGTTCTTGCTTTATCGATTCATCAACTACACTCATACAAATGCGAACAATACTCAATTTCAAAATCGATTGAAACTACTGGTCCCAAAAAACCTACTAGCAGATCTTATTGAAGCAGCTCAGACGAAATTACAAGAAGCTTCGCATTTTAACCTAATTAATCAAATGCGAACCACAAAATTTTCATTCCAGATGCGAACACAGTTTAGTTCTTGAACTCTAAACTTGCGAAATCAAAAATTCATATGTTGAACCCATATGCGAATATTAACCCAATTGACTTCAAATTGATTCACAGATGCAAACACTCAATTGTTTCACTTTCGCAAAATGAGCATCAACAACTCCACAATCGAGTTTTTAAATTCTTGCAAACAACAATTTCACAGTCCTTGACTTCGCGTTTTTCTTCACGACATAACATCAAACTATCCATTGACAATTTCCACATAAATATTTATCATCATTTAAATGCAACACAGCGCCAAAGGCGCACACTTGATTCCTGCTAGTTTTGATTAATCTAAATAATAAAATATTCTATTGTAGGTTTGGTTACAACTTACAACTTATATTTTTTGCAAAGACAATTAACAAAAAACAAAACAAAAAATCTATTATTTTAAAGATAATGTTTTTGGTTTTAGATATAATAATATATTATAATTTACAATATTAAACATTTTTAATTGACAAAAGATATTTTTAATTAAAAAATATTATATTAACTAATATGTAACGTCCTGAAAATCTCAGGTAATTCTTTTCATTTTTAATACAATAAACCATGCAAACGAGTTGTTCTAAAATTGATCAAAGTGAATATATCATTTAAACATCAGAGTAATATCATTAATTCTCAAGTGTGACTTGAAGGACTCGAAACCAGATCTTGTAGGAACTCCTTCAATTTCGTTAGAAGTGGTGGTTAGCGAAATCTAACTTGAAAATGCACAAACACATCGGATCTGGTGAGATCTGATGCAGATCTGATGAGATATAATGTAGATATGGTGAGATCTTATGTAGACTATTGGTTATTTGGAGTGGAAGAGAGAAACAGATGGATATGGTCGTAGATCTGACGAAATGGAGGCAGAGGATCAGGAAGGTGAAGTCTTCGAAGAAGGTAACATCGTCAGTGTTGATTAGTAGCTAAATGTAGGCAGGGCCTGTATCTTAGACTTGTTTATGATTAGTAGCTAAGTGTAGGCTAGGCTTGTATCTTAGTATTATCTGAGTATGTTTATGAATTGGTAGATTATGGTATACTTCTTGTCTACGGTGATACTTGTATGTGTGTTTAGATAGCGGGGTGTGGGCGGGGGCCCGTATCCTCTAGATAGGGGAGTGTGGGCGAGGCTCATACCTCCTAGACAACTGAGTGTGGGTGAGGCCCACACCTCATGGATAGCTGAGTGTGAGCAAGACTCGTATCTCATAATTAGCTAAGTGTGGGTGGGGGGCCGTATCTCCTTGAGTGTGGGCGAGGCCTATATCTCATAGATGTATGTTATATGATATGTATATGGTATATGGTAGTTTGGGGAGACTCATTAAGCTTTGTGCTTACAGTTTTCAGTTTTGGTTTTAGGTACTTCTGGTAGCAAAGGGAAGAGCTCGGGATGACTGCATTGCACACACCACAGTGTTTAGCCTGGGAGGATTTACTCTGATATTTTGATATGTGATTTGGATACATTGTTTGACATGATGTTTTGAGATATTACCATTTATGTTTTTTATGAAATGATTGGATTACTATGGTTTTATAATGATTTAAAACGATTTTTTGGACCGTATTTTTGGGGTGTTTAACATTCCTTTCAAAAACTACCATTTCCGAATAGGCCAAGTTAATAGCTTAAAATCATCGCCATAATTATCCACATTATGGCTCGATGTTCCTTTTACTCGAACCTTAAGATCATGCTCAATGGTTCGAGCAACTTAAACCATTTCCATAATCATCCACATTATGGATCGATGTTACTTTTACTGGAACCTTAGGGTCATGCCTAATGGTTCGAGCAATATAAAATCATCGTCATAATCATCCACATTATAGATCGATGTTACTTTTACTCGAACCTTAGGATCATGCCTAATGGTTCGAGCAACTTAAAACCATCACCATAATCATCCATATTATGGCTCGATGTTACTTTTACTCGAACCTTAGGGTCATGCCTAATGGTTCGAGCAATATAAAATCATCGCCATAATCATCCACATTATGGCTCGATGTTACTTTTACTTGAACCTTAGGGTCGTGCCTAATGGTTCAAGTAATATAAAATCATTGCCATAATCATCCACATTATGGCTCTATGTTACTTTTACTCAAACCTTAGGGTTATGCCTAATGGTTCGAGCAATATAAACCCATCGCCATAATCATTCATATTATGGCTCAATCTTACTTTTACTCGAACCTTAGGGTCATGCCTAATGGTTCGAGTAATATAAAATCATCGCCATAATCATCCACATTATGGCCCGATGTTACTTTTACTCGAACCTTAGGATCGTGCCTAATGACTCGATGTTATTCTTCTTGAACTTAAGTCTCATATCTAGTAGTTCAACTAATTCCCAAACATCGCCATAATATGCCTCACCATTCGATTCTCGGGTCAAAGCCCGATGGATCAAATTATATGTTGAACATAACATTCACGTTTGTAGGTAAAACATTTCAGGATCTGACAAGCACTTCGAGTCAATAGAAAGGCTGGATGTCAGCCCTGGGAAATAAAAGAACAAGCGGAACTACAAACAACTCTCATGACCATACGAACAGGAACAAAAGGACTCGAATGCATAAAACAAAAGTCCATTGGCATTTAGCAAGTTGCCATTACAAGATAACAAAACAAGCAAAGCCTGCCTAGAAGCAGGGGCAACATTAAAAAGTAATGATTTCATCTTCAAACCACTACTAAAACTAGCACTAGCCAACTTCATCCTCCTTGGAACAATCCATAACCTTCAACAATTTTTCAAACCAACCACGTCTATTCCCCTAGAGCAGATAAAAAAGAGTACTTGTACGTTGTCATCTCAGAAATACGATCAATAATTTGACGTTGTGCATCTGGGTACGAATACAAGACACTCTTATCCTTCAATTCTTCAGGATATTTTTCCTTCAGGCCAACACAATCTTGATGAAGACCAAGTTGGATGGAGGACGTATGCAAGGTAGCATTCACGATGCTAAAGTCGCTTGAATCTAATAAAGCACGGACAAAAAGAGGAATACCTTCCTTTACAACCCATCGTAGTTCCTCAGCTCCCTGGTCTACTCTTGCCAGGAAAGTGTCCACTTTCTATTTTGTCATGACTTGTACATCATTCAATGTAGCAAATTGAGCATCCTTATCCAACATCAGGAGTCTCCCAACAGCCAACTCCTCCTCTTAAAACTTAATGCTGATATCCTTACTCGAACATGTAATCTCCAATTAATAAACTTTCTATGTGTATTGTGACTTCAATAAATGTTACTGCTAAGAAACACCTTCAAGCTGGATGAGGTGCGATGGATCAGAGCATCATCTATTCTCATTTGCAAATCCTGGTTCAACTTTTTCAGCTCCTCTTGCTGACCAATAGATCGACTCAAATCCGCTACCAGACTTTGGTTCCTCTCCGACAAACAATCAACCTCTTTCTTTAACTCTTTGGCTTTTTTCTTCGTCTGTTTGTGAAGGACCCGCAACTGTTTCATCCATTCCAAAGCTTCATCGAAAACAACCTGGCATTAGGAAAGATCTTATGAGCATGCTTTTGTGCAGAGGGACACGTCATTCAATAAATACATTCCTTCCATCATGCATGACAAAGCCTTATCCAATGTGTGACAACTCGATATTTTAAGTCAATGTAATGACCTAAAAATCAAGGAATTGTAATCTACTTTTGATGTAATAAAAATAGCGTTAAAAATAAAATGTTCAGAAGTCTCAATTAGGTTGCATAAAGTAATAGATATCGTAACAAGGTTTTCAGAAATGTAAAGAACACAGAAATCCGAGTTATAACGAAGAAGTTATGTCCAATCGAAAATCCGCAACAAAACCGGCAAAACATTGTTAAGCGTAAAATGCGAAATCTCAATAAATTACTTTTTAGCCTTAGGTATCTAAATGAATGTTGTAGATATCATTAAACTATGAATGTACATAAAAAGAACGTCCAAATCTAACTTCGTATGAGGAAGTTATGATTTTTTTTTAAGTTTTAGAATAGCAGTAGTGTAATATCCCAAAATTCGAGGGCAAAATTTTCATTTTTGATTAGGTGATTTATAAAATTGTTCATCAAAACATTGTCAAAATCACGTCAATACATAAAACCATAATATCATGTTTCAAAACCAAATCATCTGAAATAACAAAATATTAGAGTACAATCCCAGAAACTCTACGCGGAAATCATAAGTGTGTGTGTGTGATGCGCTGCTACACCGCCGACTCCTTCCCCTTGGACGAAGAGGTACCTGAAACCCAAAAATGAAACTGTAAGCACAAAGCTTACTGAGTTCCCCCATCATACCACATACCTTACAATCACATAACAAACATACTACCGAGCAATTTTGCGGCGCCCGCCCTACCCATGTCAAGCCATTCTGGGGTGTTAACCTACCCATGTCAAGCCATTTTGGGGTGCTCACCTACCCTTGTCGAGCTATTATGGGGTGTTGTCCTACCCTCCGGTTTATCTCAACTGAACATGGGGACTATTTCACCCCTACTACTAACACATAACATGATATCATAATCATGCTGTCAGACATATCTGGGGTGTGGGACCTACCTATTGGTCCTAACGACCGAATTAGGGACTAGTCCCCTTCTACTGATACTATCTCATATAACATGGCAATTAGCAAAACTAGCATACTCACATATCTAGCAGTCTAGCATGCTCACATATCCAACAATCAAACCAGACAGTTATCACAAAGATAACCATCCCAACTACCAACTACTAGTGGGTCGGCCTTGGTGCCTTAGACCCACCCCTACTGGAAGGTAACTCACCTCGATGTCGTGTAGTGTCTGAACTATCCTTAGCGTGAAAGGTCGACTCTCCTTGACTCCTCAATCCCTACACGACAACCCTCAAGTCATCAAACAGAACATACAACCCTAACCAGTGTCAATACCAAAACCAGGCAGAGTCAACATTGGTCAAAGTCAACACCTAGTTGACCTGACTCGCTGAGTTGGTATACCAACCCGTCGAGTCCATACTCTACTAACCCGATCCAACCACGACTCCACTCGTCGATTCTATCAAGAACTCGTCGAGTTCTCCTTCATTCAAACCATTGGGACCATCTTCATCCGACTCGCCCAGTTCTTCCTTGAATTCGGCAAGCTCATCTCCCTCATAAGAACGTGTCCAGTCTCCGAATCACCAAGTTGTATGAACAACTCGTCGAGTCTATCTTCAAATATTGGGAGATTGTCTTGGATTTGCAGAGTCTGTTCATACACTTGTAGAGTCCCATGATTCACAGGTCTCTTTTCGCATCTAGATATCTACGGGACTTTCCTCCCTAACAACTGGTCCATCTACAGAAAGGATTTGGTGGTCATTACACCACGACTCGCCGAGTCCCAAGAACAACTCGGTGAGTCCATCCTTGACCAACATTATACAGTCAATTTATATGAGCCTTGACACCTCAAAACCGTAGATCTGGCCCCCCTAATGTCCATTTCATACGTAAAGCTCCAAACTTGGTGCACATGCATGGGGGCTTTGGCTCAAAAAGCCATAAAAGGTGCTCTACTAGATGCATGGGGCTCTCATGGCCATAAAGTTGGCACCTTTATGCCATGAGACTCTTCCAATGACTCAAAACTAGAGTCAAGACCCCAAATATCACTCTACAAATCCGAATATGGCTTAGAAAGCCCTAAATGTGACCAAAACCCAAGTCTAAAGATGAATAAACACATAGAAGACCAAAACAAGGGCATTTTACCTTGATTGTGCTGAAAATGGAACTAGATCCTTGAATCTCTAAGCCCCAACTCGAACTCTCAAGCTTCTTTCTTCTTCTCCAAGCTTCACAAACCACAAAATGCACCAAAATGGCCTTAGAACACTAAAAAATAGCTAGGGTTACAATACACAACTTTCTGGTAGTGATAAGGACAATGGAGGCTGAGATAAGGTGTTTAAATAGGGTGCAAACCCTCATATTTAGGGTTTCACTCAACCATCACCTACTCGTCAAGTCAGTCCCCCGACTCGTCGAGTATGTTACTTAACCTGTCCACGGGTCATGACTCTACCCGACAAGTTGGGCCTCTAACTCGTCGAGTCCCAGAGAAAACACACAATACTTGAATAATAGGAATGCCAGGAATTAGATGTTACAAGCAGACAACTAAAAACTCGAAATAAAGATCAAGCAACATTTAACCGACACAACCTAAACGAGAATTAAAGATCTCGACAATAGTAGTGTAACGGTAAAAAGATAGATGAAAATGAACATCAGATGAAGAAGTTATGAATTTTTAATGGACTTTTCCTGTATCGGCATATTAAAAATATATAATTAAAAATAAAGTCAAAATTTTCCAACGAAGTCTAAATAAAAGTTGTATATTATAATCTCACTTATGCGTGGACATAAAGAACGTCAAAAACTGAGCTCGTATGCGAAAGTTACACATTTTAGAAGATTGGGGCACACAAACCGAGGGGAGTACACTATAGCGTACGAGGGTACGCCCAACATACTCAGTGCGCTGCCTCAGATCGACCACGTCCCCGTACTACCCTCTAGCCCATCCCATCCGAAGTCCGGAGTCCGATGAAGGCGTAATGCATGACGTACACCCAGCGTACGCGAGTACGCCCATCACACGAGGGTCAGTTCCACCCCTATATAAAGGGTGCGAGGCTTCCGAATTCTTTTGCCAATTCACAACCTTTCTCCCATATTTTCTCACTCTCGAACCTCCCAAAACTATCCCGACGTCCCGGTTACGTATCCAAGCTCCAACAAAGGTCCGAAAGTCCCGAGAAAATTTCCATTTTCCGGTTGTAGTGCTACCCAAGAAAAATCTTGTTTTCTTCAAATCGTCACACTTACCAAGTGAGTTCATACCCCTATAATCTACCTTTTTAATGGTTTAAATGCTTTTTAAGGGGGAATACAAGTTGAACACCAACTAATTGTGTTAATATTTTCATGTGATATCAATCACATAAACGATTCCTTATGCTTTTAATTGTTGTTATACAATAAAAGATTATCAAATGCTTCCAAAGTGACTTAAAGTCGTGTAAAATATTTAAATTCAAGTATACTCTTTTCAAAATCACTTAGACTCTTTTTAAGATATCGATAAGCTCTTTTAAATGTGTTTATAACTCTTTAAGCTTATAATTGTCAAAAGCATGTTCATATATCAATAAGTATATAAATAAGACTTAAAAGGCTTAGGACTAATGAGTTGCCTTATTTCCTTTTCCTTGTTTGGATGTGGTCTTAAGGTGGTGTTATTTGTCCGAATGACGTTTCCTTCTTAAGTATACATATTATACATATGAGAATATAAAAGGTTACTTCAGTCGGTATCATTACCTTTGTATCATGCTGAGCAAAGGGGTACTTTTAGGATAGATCATGCTAATCAGATAGAACGTATAAATTATAATAGGTATAATTTATGAAAACAACGAGGAATCTATTTTCTAGATAAGTATACGAGATCTAATTTACTTTGTCAAGAAAAAGGTATAATTCAATCTTTACTCGAACTAAAATGTGATGGTACGTCTTCAGGACATAGCAATACTTGTTATGTTACATCCTTGTAACTAGAGTCTCTTGGAGGGAGAGCGAGCATATTGTGTATAGATGATATGGACATATTTAGTTAAAAAAATTCATGCATTATCTTAATACTTTATGTTGTTTTTGTCTCATTTAATGAAAAAAAGGTGCTTAATTAATTTATAATTTCATTTTTCAGCAACAATGACATGCTCGGATGGAAAAGGAAGCGGAACTAGCGATTGGAAGCTTGGATCTTGGATTTTGAAGAAAGAAGGATGTTGCTGGACAGCTTGACCCCTCGTCTGTGTTTTGGACATATCTCATGAACCGTAACTCCGATTGATGAGATTCATGTTTTGAGAAAATTGTGTTTTGGACAAAATTTCAGATGACTTTCATGTTTTTAGAAAATGCTGATTCCAAACGGACTCGACGAGTAGTCCATAAACTCGACGAGTCACTCCGAACTTTCGCGATTCTGGACGCACTGACTTGCGGTACACGGGTTTTAAGTGACGGACTCGCCGAGTATCCCCTGTTTTGTGAAAATCTATATAAAGGGACTTTCAGATCGATACCCTAGGAGATAGATTAACCCTTGGAGGCCAATTGTCGACTAAAGGTGCTGCTAGAGCGTGGGAAGCTAAGGAATCAACCCTACATTCAATTTTAAAGAGAATCAAGTCAAAATAAAGTTTACTCTTACCTAATCTCTTGTTTGAACTATATTTTTACCAATTGATTTCGTTTTTGAGCTTGTTTCTGTTGTAATCATGAGCTAAAACCTTTAAACTTCTGTTTGGGGAGACACAATTGATACTATGGATTGATTATATATGGTAGGATTGATTTAATATTGGTGATTTTGTTGATTCAAGCTTGTTAAAGAACTTTATGTGTGAATGATAACTACTTTT